GAAATTATACAATACAAGTATACAGAAAAAGTATACAATACAAATATACAGAGAAGCTATACAATACAAGTATACAGAAAAAGTATACAATACAAGTATACAGAAAAAGTATACAATACAAGTATACAGAGAAGTTATACAATACAAGTATACAGAAAAAGTATACAATACAAGTATTCAGAGAAGCTATACAATACAAGTATACAGAAAAAGTATACAATACAAGTATACAGAGAAAGTATACAATATAAGTATACAGAAAAAGTATACAATACAAGTATACAGAAAAAGTATACAATACAAGTATACAGAAAAGTATACAATACAAGTATACAGAAAACTCTAGAACATCAGTATACAGAAAACTCTAGAACATCAGTATAGAGAAAACTATAGAACATCAGTATAGAGAAAACTATAGAACATCAGTATAGAGAAAACTATAGAACATCAGTATAGAGAAAACTATACAATACAAGTATAGAGAAAACTACAAAAGTTATTGAATGATAATATTCCACAATAAGACATAAAGAACGCAATATTTATTCTTTTTACAAGTTTCTGTTTTAACATGAATAATTAGCTTTGTTGTAGTGTTTTTTGACTGGACAAAGTCACACTAGTTTCTGTGTTTAGTGTTTTCTGATGCGCTTTATACTTTAATTGTAATAACCAAAATGAAGATTTATCTCAAAGAAAGACTATTATTTGAAAGAAAAACATTATTTGTAAGATTAGTTTTTCTTAAAGAGCAGTATTCAATTTGAAATAAAAACATTAATCGAGATAACAGAGATATTATCCAAAACAGTTGTTCCCAACCACGGTCGGACCAGCATGCCAAGTGTTTAGGGCGCTCGACTTGCTATCCTTAAGGCCTATCTACAATCTGTGCACTTGTAGCTATATATCATACACTGAGTAGACCTAGAACTATATAGTCCACCCGGTCGTGTTATGCAGATTTTGCTGGTCCGTGGAGTGAAAAAAGGGTGAGAACCTCAGGTCCAGAAAAGTAAATAGTAGTATTACCAGAAAGTTTGGTTTGTTTTGAATTTTGCGCAAAGCTACACGAGGGCTATTTGCGCTAGCCGTTCCTAATTTAGCAGTGTAAGACTAGAGGGAAGGCAGCTAGTCATCACCACCTACCGCAAACTATTGGGCTACTCTTTTACCAACGAATAGTGGGATTCACCGTCACGTTATAACGCCCCCACAACTGAAAGGGCGAACATGTTTGATGGGACGGTGATTCAAACCCGCGACCCTCAGATTGGGAGTCGAGCACCCTAACCACCTGGCCATTACCGGAAAGAAATGCAAGTTACTTCAAAAAACGGTGTTAGCTACAACAAGCACAGTATTGTCCAAGATAAGAGAGATGAGCAGTACTGTTTGAGCTGTATCAACTTACTTAACACACCTGGTGGTAAGTTGATAAATTAAGGGTTGAAAAAACAAATGGAATAGAAAATTCAAACTGACAAAGATTCTTTTTTTTCAAATAATACAATAACAGGTTACTGATCACACTGATGATCAGCTAAGTTAAATGTCATAAAAATACTAAAAGTCTGTATAAAGTTTTGTGAATATAATCTACAGTATATTAACACACAGAATTAGATAAATTACAGTATTAAGCAATAATAATTTTTATTTATAAAAAAACAACTAAAATCTTTAAATACAGATAAATGTTCCCTGAAAAATATGAAATAATTAACAAGTTCTGTTAATGCTAACTATTCTTCGAATACCTACATTAATGTCAGCCCCACCCCGTGACTCAGTGTTAAGTCTGAGGGCTTATAATGCTAAAAGTTGGATTTTGATAGTTGCGGTGAACAGAATTCAGATATCCAATTATGTCTCTTTGTGCTTAACAATAACAACAAACAAATTAATGTCATGTACTTAATTAACGAAACTAATTATACATGCTCGGCCCAAAAAGTAAGTTTGATTGTTTTAGCCACACAATGAGCTATTTGATACTCGAACTCCGGATTTTACTGCTGTGCCATTGAAGTCCATGTAGGTGAAAAGGCGATACTTAACTGCAAAAATCAATTAACATATATAAATTCGATAATATCACGAAAGATTTAAAATTAAATAAATCCAAACCTACCAGGCCATATTCTTTTTCTATGTTTGCTCTTGTCTTCATGAAATTTCTGTAAGAAGGAAAAATATTTGAATAATTTCTTGAAAATTCTTTACTGTTACTATCATTAGAAAAGTAGTAATATCACAGAAATATTCAACTGAAAATCTGGGAAATAATCATTAATTACGTATATTTTCTTGTGAAGTGATAACTGAAGTGCACGAAATAACTAGAAAAACACCATTAATTTTACATAGCCTAACAAAAATACTAAAAAAATCTCCTTCAGTTCAGTCGCCATGACAGTTTTCCGTGACCTTACTCTGCAAAGTTCAAGGTGTCTCCAAAAACAAACTTCCTATCAAATATTAGTCTATGATCTTAAGTTATTGTGATAAAAACATAAACCAACATGACTGAAGTGGTTCGTTCCTAGTCTTCTCAAACTTTTCCCGTCTCCTGGTCTACTATATCTGCCTAGTTTCACGAGTAGCCCAAGGACTGTTTTCAATGAGGGATTTCAATAACACAAGAAACAGGCATCTATCAGATACTCATAATATGAGCTATATTCTCTGATGTAATGTATCACGTTTTTAAATAGCTTAAGGCATAAATGAGTTTTTAACTAATCTACATATACTGCTTACTCCTTAGCCAATGGAGGACTTTGTTCCCCTGCTAGGATTTTTATAGAACATTATTTTTTTTATTGAATTTGCTGAAGCGAATTTTTAACTATTTGCACGTTTTACTGCTAACTCTGCCACGTGATGACGTCAAATATCAGTCATCTGCTTTTGTTATATATTGCACGGCTGTCTGAAATTTGATTTACCTAAATTTTATCCACCTCCCCCAACCCGTCAGGAGAGGATTTAGGGATGTAATGGTTTTATCTGATGTAATCAAATGTGTACGTACAAGTTTCGTTGCACTAGTCCAACTATATCAGTCGCAAAAGAAAAACAGCTAAATGACAAACAAACCGTTGTGGTACGAAGAAATCGTGGTATACGTTTTTCTTTTCCCCACTTTGTGTTTTCTGTATCAGTCGCAAAATTCAATAAAGCAGCATAAAACTAGAAGACGAGCTAGAAAACCAATAAATCCAGCATTCATGGTCTACAGTCTTTGGTTAAAATGTATGGTTATCTTCTCTTTCGAGGCTGTCCACTATTGTGCCATGTGGTCGTCATCAAGCATGCTGTGGCAGTAGAGACCATATGGCTAGTGAATATATAACGATATAATTATTTATGGAGGCTATAATATATACAGGTCGAACTGTCAAGAATGTGTTTGGACAAACAGAACGGAGTCAAGATTAAAGGTCTATTAGATAATAAAATATAGTAAAATTCAGGTAAATGTTCGTTGAAAGTTCTCACATATAATTTCCTTAGATTATCCTCATGTCTTAGACAAACTTGGAATAATGTGATTCCCGTGAACACTTACAGCCTCCGATTAACCGGAAGAAGCTTGCGTGTCACCAGACACATTACGGAATCTTCTAGAACATTTGTTCTAATCCCAACGTTCTGGCGTTTGACTTGCAGCTCTAGATATGTATTTTTACAGATGATAATACAGACGTTATGCAAGTATATCTTAGTTAAAGACAAACAATCTTTGGTTTATTCAGGTCTAAATGCACCTTCCTAATAATGAAGCTGTGAACATGTTAAATAGATGGAAAATGATTGGTCTGTAATGTAGTCTGTATCACCATAATCAAATTCATTACTTTCAAATACGATTTGAGTGGCGCACACCCTAGCACATGGTAACCCAGATTCTGTTCTACCAACTTTTAACAGTTTTATCTAGAGGATCGGGGGCATCAGCAGGCTGTCGCTAAATTTTATTCTAGTTGTGTTTTCAAATTGTATGACATGCTGAGACAATCTATGTCAATGGAAATTATATATATAATGCTATTATACAATGGGAATGTACGTGGTGCTATTATATATGGATTTTTTTTTATATTTTGAGTCGGTCGGTAGACATATATAAATCTATCGACCGACCCAATATATATATATATATTGGATACGTATATATTTTTTTCTACACCGCAAAAACTAGCCGTCCCTAATTTAGCAGTGTACGACTAGAGGGAAGGCAGCTAGTCATCACCACCCACTGCCAACTCTTGGGCTACTCTTTTACCAACGAATAGTGGGATTGACCATCACGGCTGAAAGGGCGAGCATGTTTGGTGTGATGGGGATTCGAACCCGCGCCCCGCAGATTGCGAGTCGAGCGCCCTAACCACCTGGCCATGCCGAGCCAAATATGTTGATCTATCCAAGATATATTTTAAACACGTGTTGCATGTTTACGTGCAAGCTGGATTCCTTGTATACAGATTGTTGTCTCAACAAAAAGCAGCTTGCGGATTTTTGCAACCGGTGTTTTTTTTAACCATTTTTTAACGGACAGATAACAGAAAATTTTACCTTTCAACAACGGCAAATAATAAAATCGGAAAACCCATTCTGCTAAAAACTGAGTTGGTATTTCCGAGAAACAACTCTTTACGCGTGCGAAAAAAAGAAGTTACACTGGCAGACAATTGTCATTAATGGAATTCTGTAAGTTAAAGAAGAGTAATGTGCTGGAAGTGTTTGGGAGCAAGAAACATGTCACTTTAATCATACATGTTCTCAAACTTGGATTACAACGCTCTCCAAACACACACACACACACACACGGGCGTAAAGAGAGGGACCCGAAGAGTGGGTGTACGAGTACTCAGTCACTCAACATCACAGTAAGTGCTATTCAACTCAAACACGTGCTTATTTCGTACAAGTACACACTTAAAGTAAGATAATCGAGACTAGCTGAACGTGCCTCGAGCTACTGAAGAAAAGGAAGATTGTGTCAAAGGTTGAGAATCGATTTAGTGGATTAAAATCAATAAAGAAATAAAGAGCTCTATTTGGATTAAAAAAATCCTTTAAGAATGGGAAAAAAAAGCCCTTGCTGTTCCATGGGGTAATATTTCATGATTCACGTAAATCTGTTAAACGTAAAACACACAATACAGTTAGACTTAGCTGCGACGACAAGAAGGATTGAATACCAGTGTAAAGCTACTCGTCTCTATGTCTTGTAGGCATATTGTTACACATAACAATGAAGCAAAAAGGCATCAGGCTTGTCTTTGAGTGACGGACGGTGCTCGACCAGTAACGACTTAACAACGGAACTCTGTACGAAGGAAAGAAGCGTACATTATACCGGTAATCCCATATATATATATACTCCCACACCCACCCACTCACACAGGTGCTGACAGACAACACAAAACTTTACGTTTCAACAACATTCAACCCCTTAGAGTGTATGTTAGTTGGTAGGGTGTTGTTGATTGGCTGATTGCCTTCCCTCTGGCCAATAGTTCAAAATTAAGGACGGTGGCAGATTCCCTTAGTAGCTTTGCCATAAAATACAAATAAAAAATATATATGCTACGAATTTTATTACCTTATTGACCAGTCACTAATTAGTTCAAAATCAATATTTAACAATAGCTATTAAGAGCAAACTAAAAACCAACTCTACTACTAATGCGTTCGATGGAGGCAATACCAGCACAGCGATAATTAGCACATCCATACTAATTAGTACATTAGTAATATCCGACTCCACATTATAAACAGAAAAAATTCTTTTATTTCACTCTGTAATTTTTTATGAAGAGAAAACTTTATTTTTTCAGATTAGTTTGTTTGTTTCGGAAATTTGAACAAAGTTATACAAGAATTATCTGCGCTAGCTGTCCCTAATTTCAACTGATAGATTAGAGTGAATGAAGCTAGTCAAGAGAACCCTCCGCCAACTACTGGGATACTCTAATCAAATAGTGAGATTTGACCGACACCCTTATAACACAACTATTGCCAGGCCCTGTGAAGCGCAGCTTTGCAGCAAAAGATGCGAACCATGGACCCTCAAATGCACAGTTCGGCAGCTAACCGCTAGGCAACGCCCGTACTTAACTTTCAGGTTAGTAATCCCAAAATTACGCGTATTTAATTTCATTTCACCAAGCTTCAAAAGTATAAATTAATAGTTGTATTTTTACCAGTTTAAAGTTCTGTAAAAAGCGTTCATAAAACTGAGCTCAAACCGACAACGAAACTTAACCTTTAAAAGGGTGAGGCCATGCAGTAAAAAGCTTTTCCTTGAACAAATGTTTTCTAGAAAAAAAAATAGCTTAAGAACTATTTAATATGAAACAAATCTATTAAGTACAACAAAACAATGTAGAAAGTAAACCTTCTAAGTGTAAAGCGTTAAGTGCAAAATAAGAATTCTTAGATGCCCCCCGAACTGCCCATTTGTATAACAGGGAAATAAAAGCTACAATATAAATATATATATATTCATAAAGTGTTTTTTATTTCAGTCCATCAACGAGATCGCGAATTTTGCAGGTCTTAGGCCTTTATTCATGTTTCTCAGGCACAGTCTGTTTGAAAATAACTTTTAGGTATCTTGGTCTTTCTTAAATTTGAAGTTGAAACAAATAGGGTTAAACTCAGGTGACTTTTTTAAAAAACGTGTTTATGAGCTCTACTTTTCTATTATAAATGTATTGTAATTGGGGAGCGGCTTGGCCCTCTGGTAGAGCTCCGTATTTCAGAGCTGACGAGTTGGGTTCGAATCCTTGCGATACCACAAAATATTCTCCGCGCTGTGATGAGTGTTATAAAAGTGTTAGTCAATCCCTTTAGCGTGGATGTTAAGTGAGAGGGTGCTGTTGACTGGCTGCCTTCCCTCTGACCAGTAGTTCGAAATTAGGGACGGTGACAGATAGCCTTAGTAGCTTTGCCATAAAATACAAAATAAAAATATTATTAAAGTTGTCGCTTCCTGAGAGCGTACATCATAATCGTATTCATAGTTCGATTGTTTATTGTTTATTTGTTTGTTTATTTGTAATTAAGCACAAAGCTACACAATGGGCTATCTGTGCTCTG